TCTTCGAAATATAGAGTTTTTAAAAATTCGCTCACTTTGAATAAGTTGACTTTGAACAGCGCAGGTCGTAATGCAGAAAACAAACGCTTACCGATAGCTGTCATCAGCAATTAAAACGAAAATAATATTTACAATGAAAGATGCGGAATTTTATAACAATTTAAACTATATTTAACAACAACAACACATTTAAATTGTATCTAATAACGATAATAATAAGTAGCAATCCGTGACAAAAGATTTTGCTACAGGAGGTGTTTGAAATGTCGACCGTCTTCTCCTATGCACAGACGGGACCGTTTAAGAACATTTCTCGCGGAATTCATTAACTCAGTGGGAGTGAAAGATACCTTCGCATAACCGCTCAGTACTTCTAATTCTTGTCTAGAGTATACGGGCAATTTAAAAATAAGATTCTTTTGTCTTCCCCAAAGACGCTAAGTCCGGCATCCTCGACGGCCAACGGCAACTAAGGTCCCTAGTTATAGCTATTCAATTATTTTCAAAATGGGCTGGCAAAAATTGCTGATAATTTCAGCATTGTGAGGCGGTGTCTCGTCTTGCTGAAAAATATGTTTTGAAGTTCCATTAGGGGCAGATTATATTGATGATCTGCGTACTAAGGGATCCAAAGCGTACTAGATAAAAGCGGCAAACTTTTAAAAATTCTATATTTCGAAGGGGACTAAAAAACTATATTTTTTAAAAGGTGATTTTAAGTTCTTTTCGTTGAATTAAAAATATACAAGGTGTCAAAAAATTCTGTTGATAACTTTTAAATTATTAATTTAAAAAAATATATCCTTAAACCATTAAATTCTACATAAAAAGGTACTTTGGAAATGTTTTCCATAAAATTCAAAATTTTCCATAGCAAAAAAAACGGCGATTTGTTAAAAATGCACATTTTTCAAAAACACCCCGTAAATCCGAAACGGTAACAGATATCGATGTGCGGTTGTTACCATCTTGTTTTAGATAAAAATTGAGCTCCAGACACCGATATTAGTTTCGTCTATCTCCTATAGAAAAATATATATGCGACAAAAATGTATAGGCGTGTTTCTGGAATCAATCCAGTTAAACTATTTGCACTTATTTAAGAAAAACACTGTATAAACTGACATAATAATATTTGACATAATATTTCAGCATTAAATCAAGATATGATTACCACGGTTCAAATTGGTACTCAAGAAAACTCAATACCATTAGATTTCAGAATCTCGTCCGCTGGATCACAAAATATCCTCAATATTGGTAGTTTATTTATTGTAGTATGGTTCCTATTAAAAATAAAATAACATGTATATTTTTAATATTTATTTATTTATTACATTAATCAACAAATTAAATTAATTTCACTAATACTTCGATTTACTGAACATCGCAAAGAAAAGCTACTCCTCTCAAGCACCAGTGCTCTGGCGGTTTCACCGTTTGCAACCACAGGGTAGTTATAAAATTAAGACCTGTTCGTCTAGCTTTCTTGTACACTGGACACTACAACGAAATAATATTTACTTTTAACTGTGCGAATAAAAAAGTTCTGAAAGACTTAAATCATCGTTGATAATAGATTTAACAAAAAATAAATAAATTACTTTTGTATATCCAGATAGTGATGGGTTGTTATTTAACTATCTGTTATTTTATAACAATTATTTAGAAATAACATAACGCAACCGTTACTACTTCTAAAAAAAACAGATATAAAATAACGACACGTTGATATCGACCGTTCGTGAAACGAAGTCGGCGCTCTGTAATGTAAAAAACAACTAGTATGGATGGAAAACATGTTATTTCGACAACCATCGATACAAGCGGCGAGATACAACGGACAACGGAGTGGGGAATGCGCTACGGCGTGGCGAACGTAGCTGCATCGGTCGATGGTCGTGTTCGGCTTGCAACAGCTTAAAAATAATAGGATATAAAAGAAGCAGCTTTTTTGAAACGGTTGCGGGCATAACGCCTGGCGGTCCAGATAACAGGAGTGGGAAAGGAACGCTGCTGCATCGGTCGATTGTCGATGGAGGCTCACAAAGGGTTGAAGAATAACGTATAGAAAATAAGCAGTCATTTTACATACGTTGTTTTTTAACCTGTTACGAGCATAACAGGCGGCGGTCGAGATAATCGGAGTGGTAAAGTAACGCTGCTGCATCGGTCGGTTGTTGATGGAGGTTCGAAACAGGTTGGAGAATAACGCATCAGTTGTTTCAGATACATTGTTTTTCAACCTGTTACGAGCATAACGGGCGGAGGTCGAGATATTATGGCGCTATATGTTTCAGTACTTAGTTATTTAGTTAAGTTTCAATATTTAGGTATTTATTTATTCTGAAAGATTTTCAGAATAAATACCTATAAGTAGAAATTCTCCTTTGCAAATTTAAGTGTAAAATTAATTCGAACTCTAGTGTGTAGTTGGTTTACTTATAAAGAATATACTACACATTTTTTTATATTGCTTTTTTTACCGCAAATGGTAAAATCATAACTAAGAGCTTCTCGCCCGTCGAGTGAGATGCACCCTGTATACTGCTATGCAATTCAGGAGGATCGAGGGGCAGGGCGTAGGTAGGGTAGATCGGAATGTATAGGTATAGACGAGTAGCGGCATTTGGCTTTTTTATATCGCAATTTGTAAACAGCGCTTATTTGTAAACAACCACCGTTTTTAGAGAGGTATTTTAGATAACAATCGATATTTAGAAATTTTTTGACACCCTGGAAATACTACCACCGAGCACGTCATTGTTGCAACTTGCAACTGCGTGCCTGGTGGTGACCGCCTCATACTCTTTCAGATATTTAGCAATAAAATAAAGAAACAACAAAATAACAGTTTTGCCCATCACTATAGCCAGATTAGTTTTCTTAAAACAACAGCTCAAAAATAAATAAGCTGATAGTCATTTGTAAAACTTGGAAAATAAGTTCGTTATAGTAATACTTTAATTGTCTAGTATTATAATAAATATATGAGGCGTCAAGTTGCAAAACCCGACTTATCCATTTTTTAAAAAAGATGACCTAATGACACATATTAATACTGGACCCTGAAATCTACATAAACATAATCCTGACCAGCAGTAAAAGTCGCCTATTCCTATATAAAATTCACTACAAATTACGTTACTGCAGCAAAATCCGTTTTATCCACTTATATTTGCTTTTTATCGTCATTATTGTTCCAAACCCCACATTTTTACAAGTATAGTATTACTACTGACGTCTTTTCAAAACCTTACTTAATTTTAATAAAATACGATATTTAATAAATCAAGTTAGGATGCAAATACCGTATGCTCGCAAAAACGACGTCCAGTTGGCTAGGAAATGACGATCGATGACATTTCCCATAAAAATTTACATATAAAATGACAGCGTTCTTCATTTCATAGCCAATATGCATCAAACTGCAACAAAACCCGCCTTATCCGAATTATTTTTGTGTTTTTTCTATTTAAAAATTAAATATTAGTTTTTATTTCTAGAAAAACAAGACACAAAATAATGATTCCACTCAATGCAATGGACACGTTTTTTGTAAATTTGTAAAACATTTTTTGCTTATTATCTCGAAACAACGCCAACGTTTGTGAGATAAGACGGGTTTTGCAACTTGACGCCTCATATGTGTTGTTATTAGAACCACTGAAGATTTGTCAGCTTTATTGGAAGAAGGAGCCTAAGGAACGTCAAGTAGTATCAAGAATTTTCAGAGACTTTTGTTACACATATAAGTATTTACTTTTTTTTATAACGGTATAATCAATTATTTGGAGTTATTTGTAGTATATATAGAGGTG